GATCGTGTGAAGAGGAATTGAAACAGTATGGAGTAACATGGATGGAAGTGAAAAGTACAGCAGAAGACAGAAGCAAGTGGAGACGTGCAGTTGAAGCCCTTTGTTCCACTAGGAACCCAAGGGAACAATAGTATATCATAATATAAATAATATCTCTATAGAAATATATTATTTATTATAGATCTTACTTGTTGCCATTAGTAACATGTAATTCTTTCATGTGTTTTTTATGAATTCAGTGAAATCTGATAAGGTTTAAGCGTAAACTTTCTACCTTGAATAAGGTATAAGTGAAATGAGATTATGTTGTTGTTTTTTTATCACGTGATTAATTAACTCTATTTATTTATTTTCTATTTTTTAAATTTTTACTTTTAAATAATTCCAATAACCTTGAACTAATTAAATGTTCAATGATAATTTAGTATACACTCTCGTGTTTATTTTATACAATGAGAACTAGTTTATGGATTGGAAAACAAACAAACAAACAAGAGGTTGAATAAGTTTCATCCATTGTTCAATATGATGACATTTTATCCCATGAAATTAGAGCTTTTCACAAATTCGAATTTGAAACTAGTATCAGCAAATGGCTGATAGGTTACAGGATTTCATCATGATGAGCTGACATCTGTTAGAGAAGCATTGGAAAACCACCTGGGAGTAGTGGACAGCCAACTGTGTCTTCCTAGTTTGGGACTCTTCAGCTGTGCGTACCCACCGCTAGAATCGGAACTCAGGACCTTCTGGTTACAAGGCGACCACTAGCCAGTGTCATCACTGGGTAGTATTTGTCCTCACACCCGATCTATGTCGTGAAATGGCAGAAGTTGAAATTCACAGGTTGGTCATTGAATAGGGTCCCAGTAGCTTAGTGGTCTATGAGCTCGCCAGCTTTGTAACCAGAAGGTCCTGGGTTCGAATCCTGGCAGTGGGTGCGTATTGATGAAGAGACCAAAACTAGGACTATCAAGTACTCCCAGCTGATTTTCCAATGGTTCTCTATAACTGACTTCAGCTCATCATGAGGAAGTCCTACAACCAATCAATCAAATCCCTACAAACCGATGCATAAATGGCTGATCGTGAATGTAAATTCATTAGAATATGGCCGAGCAGTTCAGTGCTGGCGTGATGTTAGTTTAAATCTCCTAGTTGGGCATTAGTTCCTTCATGTTTACAGATACTCATTGCAGAGAAATACTAACAATTACGAAACCCAGGGCGAAGACTTCTTACTGACTGTCGACGATAATCTATAACATTAGAATAGGTATGTTCAAATTCTAGTCTACCCATCATCTTATGTTCTTGAACGACTTAGTGGAAGCATGTCTTATGTAGTCAGCTGCCAGTATGTTCTTTAATCATACTCGGCATGCGTAATAAGTATATAGATAGATTTGAAGTTCTTGATGTGGTTGTGTCCTATTGTAACGACAAAAGACAAGGGCCAGGCAACAGATCCTTTATTAAGAAAATCAAGAGGTATTTATAGATTTTTATGTACATTAACATTAGCGTTATTGTTAGCGGAGAAACAATGTCTTCTGATTGATTGTCTTCTTGATGAAGGTTATTCTGTAATGCTTGTGACCGTTTCTTACAATGCTTAACGTTCTACGTTAGTAAGTTAAGGCAGTCTGGTATAAAGCAGTCTTTGCTTTCTCAGTTTGTCAATTCCTGTATTCTACCCATCCCTCTTTACTGCTCCCCATTAATCTTCCCTGGACTACTTAAGAAAGACTTTGCTTCGCTGCGTAGGGCACTAAAAGCTGTTAGTAGGGCAAGTGGGATTTCGTTAAACCAACTGGTTAACACTATTGTGGATAGACATATAATGTCATATAAGAAACTAGGAAATTCTATATTGTCAGACCCCGAACACCCTCTCTATACGCAGCTCTCTCCTTGCATTTCATCTGGTAGAACTAGAAGCAACTATAGGAAGCTATATGCCAGGACTACCAAGTATAAAAACTCCACAATACCTTATCTGGTACAGCTGTTATGTGATGAGAAAACTGTTAGGCATGACATGATCAATTTACTGCGGCACTCTAACAAATAGTTCCCATTAGCTTTTGTTCTCCTTTCTTTGTTACTATTATATTGTTGCTCATATATTCTATTACACACTAATTTTATATTTCATATCCTGTGGTGCATTGTTTAAATATGTGAATGCAATGCTGTTCTTTTTTATTTCTTTTGTTTCTCTTTTCTCTTTTTGTTGTTGTTGCTTTTTATTTTTAAATTCTTATAAAATTTATGAGGTGATTAGATGCAATATTGTAATGCAAGCTGAAAATTCCATACCTGTACCACAAATACTGTTTGGAATAAAGTCATTATTATTATTATTATTATTATTATTATTATTATTATTATTATTATTATTATTATTGTTAAGCCATATATCTGCAAATCGTATTTGCACACGCTAAGTCTGCTGTGATTGGTTGGTGAGATCCTGAAGATTAGGCTTTGTTATTGTTTTTTTCTCATGACTTCGATTCAGGACATAAACATTAACGTAAATTGTTGTGTACGATTTTGGCTTGTTCTCAGCCAGCTCTCACCATACTATGAACTGGCTGATTGAATTACGAAGCTTTCATTGTCTTTCTGGACAATGCATTTCCAGTGCGAAATTCAATGTGTAGTGAACTTGTTTGAATTCTCTATGAACGATGATGTAATTGTGTCTCTTGGCAACCTTCGTTGTGATTGGTTGTTAACTTGTATTATTATTGATCGTTTTTATTGACTTAGCATTTGAACTTTTCTGTCATATGGTTTATTCCGCTTTATTAGTAGTATGTGTGTTAGTCGCTGATTCATTTGAGTATCAGGCTTCTAGAAATTCTCTGGAAGTACTTTTGGTGTTTCGTCTGTTCAAAATTTCTGCATTTCTCCAATCACATCGGCGTCCATAGTTGACTATGTGCATCGGTGTTTCAGTGGCACAGCGGTTAGGAAGCTCGCCGACCATGCACATGTTCTGGGGTTCGATCCCCGGCCGGTACACTCCTTTACCTCGCTAAGCCAGTAATAAAGCTGGTAAAGAGGAAAGGTTGGGTATGAGGCTAGCAACCACATCCTGTAAAAATAAACATTGCTTGAAGTTGCCCTGTGCTTCAGTGGGAACGTGAAAGAATAAAAAAGGTTGTACCTAGTTTACATTCTTGAATTCAGAGTCAAAGGGGATATCTACTTTGACGAGTATACTGGTTACCACAGTTCATGAAATTTATTTTCTAGATGGTGTTAATCTTCTTTTGTTGTCGTTTGGGTCTTCTGGTCTGCATAGTATTGAATGAAGCGACTGTGTTGGCTTGTGTGCGATATGCATTTTGTGTAATTTTAGTATTCTAGCTAATATTTCAGAAATATTCTTCATATGCGGTAGGATGAATTTTCTTGTGGTTTCTGAGGGTGATTTCTTGCTGGGAGTTTGATGAATTTGTAGGGGTAACAATTTTCCTTGGAAATTTATAAATATTTGTGAGCAAGTTCTTTGATAACGGGTGACTGAGTTATTGTCCTTCATTAATAAGCGACTGGCTTATCAGTGAAGAACTTTTCCAAAAAATGCATCATTTCAATTTGTCAGACACACACACACGCATAAAAGTAGATAAGTGGAATGCAATGGAAATACAGTGATATCAACACTGATCACGAACTGAAATTAGCTGTTTCGTCCTTGTTCGGTACTCTTCAGCACTGATACAAAAGGCTCATTTGGCATTTAGCAACAAATTACACCATCTATGACTTAGTAGATGTGATATCCTGCTGGCTTTTGACTGAAGGATGTGTGCATTGCTCAGCAATTCGCTCCGTCTTCCTTAATGGCTGTGAGACATGGCCATTGAGAGTGGAAGGCACGGAAAGGCTAGCTAGCTGCCTTTGATCATAGGTACCTGCGTTCTATCTCCCATGTTAGGTGGTATAATAGGGTAAGTAATATTGAGTTGGTTGGGTGTTGAGTGCTAGTTAACAAGGGAAAATCAATCGATGAGGTTGTGAAGTTACATCGATTGAGAGAGATGGTTAGGACATGTGTTCTGGATGCCTAGCCAGCGGCTTCTTCGACAACGAGCAATGTTAACTAAACTAGGATGGATCAGGCTGGAAAAGAGTTAGCTAGTGGTGGTCAAATCAAAACATGGCTTTATGAGCCAATGAAATCCATAACGGTTAGTTTAATCCAGCCTGCCAACCACGTAGGAAGGTGTAGACTTCCTGATTGGTTGGGGTCCTGTTGCGGTGAGAGCTGTCTGCTAGCCAAAGTTGTAGACAACAATTTACGCAAATATTTGCGTCCCGAATCGAGGTCATGAGAAATAACGACAACAAAGCTTAACCTTGAGCAACTCAACAACCAATCACAGAAGACTTACCATGTGCAAATACGATTCGCAGATATATGGCTCAACCTTCTAAGAAATGGCCACAAAGAGACAACAGAATACCTTTCAGCAATAAGACAACCAATCAGAAGACGTTGTTTCTCCGCTAACAATAACGCTAGTAATAATGTACATAAAAATCTATAAATATCTCTTGATTTTCTCGATGAACGATCTGTTTCCTGACCATTGTCTTCTGTCGTTACATTGTCACTTCATTAAGATCCATAGACGAATGAAAATAACTCTAGAATTTAATTCCTGGACATCGTTATGACTAGAAAAGAGGATAGTACAATAAGAAGAAGTGTATATAGCAAACCAATATCAACTCAATTTTTCAGCTTGTTGCCTTTGAAATTTAAACGTAATTTAATTAAGTGTTTGATCTACAGAGCTCTAATGAATGCCTTAATGAAGAGCTCAGCTCTATGAAACAATTATTCAGTGAAACCAGCTTTTAATGGTTCTCTAACTGATTTCACCTTGGGATGACGTTGAACCTGATTAATTCTTTCAAATTATTTCCTTAAAAATTTGTAGAAAATAATAATATTCTTTAAATTTATATTATTTTAGCCTGACAGTATCAACGAAATCAGATTACTCTGTATTAAACAGTTCAGGGGTATGCAGTTATCGTTCATCGAAACTGCTGAATCGATCTAAATCCAGCTACTCGTATATCAGCGCTGTACGTAATCATAATTGTCATACACGATTGTGGTGATTTGATCTGTAAGTCTTTTTGCTAATATTTTGTATCGTTTTCATTGTCTCAATATTTATTGGAGTTATATTTTATGGTTTTTTATTCTTTCACGTTCTCAATATGATCTCATCTTTCCAACCCACTTCATCAATAGGTTCAACATTTCCTTTCTTTCTGTTCCTGTCCTCTCTCTTCTTTTTCCGTTATGTGCTGCTTTGTTCTCTTTCTTTCGCTTACGCCAGTTAATAAGACAGCTCCCACTTTTCTAACACCTTCAAACACTGTTTCAGCTTTACCTTTGCTACTGAACATGCCAATGTATTGTTGTAATAATGAACTGTGGTTTCCTCAATCTATGTAGAATTCTATTTTATTGACAATGTACTAACTGGATGCAATACTGTAGTAAAAATGCTGAGAATTCCATTCTGTATCACAAGTACTGTTTTGGAATAAAGCAAATTATTATTATTATTATTATTATTATTATTATTATAAGTCGTCAAGCTCCGAAGCTTTAGTAGGAGTGGTGTTGTTCTAACGGAGAGGGGTTACCTACCTCACGCGTATTCTTCCATGTTTCACCACAACGTGAAACTCACGGAATCCTTCAAAGTGAAACGGCAGTAAGACAAGACTGGCTGCCTACTATCTCCAATGATTTTCCTGTTTGAGGTAGATAGATAGACTAGATAATGCGACAGACACAGGCAGGCAACTAGGAGACAGGCATTAAATGGACTCACACAAAAATTGGAGGATCTGGATTTCGCCGATGATATATGTCTGATTTCTCAAAAACTGGAGGATATGCAAGTGAAAAGCAACAAGTTGTCAGAAGAAACATGAAAGATAGGACTTTAGGTGAACAAATAGAAAACAGAGGTGATGAAGATTCCCGGGCAACAGCACCAGCAACAACAGCAAAAGACAATAATCAGCATAAATGGGAGAAATCTGATGGAAGCAACCCTCTTTACCTACCTACCGGGGAAGCATCGTCTCAACTCCAGGCGGAAGGAACTGATGAGGATATCAGAGTGTGAGGATCGGGAAAGCAAGGCAAGTTTTCACTACTCTGAAGTCTGTGTGGAGATCAACAGCACTACTCAGCATGAAAAATTAGATCCGGATTTTCAACTCCAGTATGAAGTCATTGCTTCTAAACAAATCAGAGACTTGGCGCTGCGTCATGATAGGCACTTCGAAAACACTACAGACCTTCATCAACAGCAGTGTACGCTCAATACCACTCAAGATTAGATTACGGGCTAAAAAGATCAGCAACCGGGATCTCTGACAATGAACGAACCAACCCCAGGAGGAACCAACTGTCTAAGAAATATGCAGGAAGAAATGGAGGTGTGCCGGTCATGATCTAACATCACGCGCCAGGCTCTCTCTCTTCTGGAGCCAAAATGGGAAGCGGCGAGTTGGTCGTCAGTGAGAGGGTGACATGAAGGAGGTGATGCGAAGAGGAGATGAAAGCATGTGGGGAGACGTGGAATGTTGGCAGAGAACCGAACGCAATGGATACATGTGGCTGAAGCCATATGTTCCTTTAAGAACTAAGGGAGACAGTAGTAATAATACTACAGGTTAGTAAACTAAGCAAGGCATAAGGGTGAGTTTGCTGCTAATTGACGAGGGCCCAAGTGCGTGACTGTCGAAAAACCAACGAACAAAGGTCGTTGCCTGATGGTAGGCTCGATTCCCTGGTTCTCATTAGCAGTGTAATACTCTATCAACTGAACGAAGTGGCCCATATATTCCATATAATAATGAATCATTGTTTTATGTGAATTTTGGATATGTGGCTCGAACACTTGACTTTTAGCTTATAGATTCTTGAACTGAAAGCAACTCTATCTACTCCACTCTGGATAACTGGATGGTATCATCAGTTCACACGCATATTGATTGTGACTCATAGCCTGCTAGTATAGTGAAACGTCTGTCTCGGGTAACACAAATGTATCAGGTAGGACTAATTAGAAGGTAGATCTTGCTGAAGATTTATGCCAAAGATGGCTCCAGCCTACTTGCTTTCATAACCAGTAACTACTTTAAAAATGAAATAATATTTTCAAAGCTACTTACAAGTAGTCAATGTTTTAAAATGCAAAAAATGATTGACGTCAGTATGCTGACAGGATGTTACCACTGAGCTATTCAGACTCGCGACTGACCTCCTCTAGGACTGTATTGGATATTTTTGATTGGACACTTGCTGAATGATGAGTGCCAACTAGCACGAAACCTAGGTCAGGTAAGGCTTTCTGTCGACTGCCTCCGACGATCAAATACCAACAATTTGCATTCAGTCTGCACCAACGTCAAAGTCTAGACAACACATTACACTAGTTACTGACTACTGTCCAAAAATATTCAATAAGATATTCATATATGTTTGATATTTGATGTTTTCACTTTCTGTTTTCCCTTTTTACAGACTAAAATGAAGCAAAGTTACTTCTTGATGACGAATTTTCTCAGTGAATTATGAATGCTCATCACACCAAGTGGTGTTCCTTTTCTCTCTCTCTCTCCAATAAATCGATCAGGCGAATGCTTGTAAATACTGAGGTGGAAATAATTCTACTGGCAACAACAATTTCTTCAAATTTTTTAGATGACTTTTTATTCAAACTGCCCTTTGTCAAGAACACGTTTACACAGTGTGTATGCAATATTCATGAAGACGTTGATCTTTCTGCTGAACATACATATTTTTTATTTTATTCGATGAGAAAGATAATTTGTCTGTCTATTTTGCTTCTTTTTTCACCACCATCTTTCCGCTACACTGTTGACTAATTTTTCTGTGATTCCATCTGTTTGTTTGTTTTTTCTTGTATTTTTCCGATACTACTGATATCGCTACTCTTAGTAGTATTAACAGAGAACTTGTTTGGTGATAACGGATTGAGTTCTGTGTGTGTGTGTGTGTGAGTTGGTGCATGGATGAAAAGGATTTTGACGTTTAAATGAATACCGTGGTGTAATTCTTTTTCAATATATGCATATTTTTCTTGTGGAAATGATTGCGTGTTATTACGTAACATAACATTATGTACATATTGTTCTTTGTCGATCTTGGTCATTCACATGAATTTTTTGTTTTATATGGGTAGAGAGGAACAAATTAGCATCTGAAGCGGTTTTTCTTAGTGACTACCTTTACAGAGCTTAAGAGATTGACAATTGTGTCAGCGTGCGTCATTAGAACGCTCGCCAACTACATCTCATGTGATCTGGGATTCGATCTCAGGCCGATGCACTCGTAAACCTCGCTATGCTGGTGGTAAGGCTGGTAAAGAGGGAAGGTTGGGCATGAGGCTAACAATTCCACTCCGTAAAAACAAAACTTCCGCATACTGAGGCCTCAAAACTCTAGCTTGAAGCCTTATGTTCCCCTAGTAACGTGAAGGAATAAAGTTGCAAAGTAATTTTTATAAGGGTAGTTCTTAGATATTCAGTAAATCCAAGTGATTCACAGGTGAGATCAGAAGAAGAGGATATTCCATTATGGATAAAATTTTATTTTGATAAAGTCTCACACAGTGGTGTTATGCAATAAGTCATATTTACTGATGATCACGTTTCGAGCCTAATTTATTGCTACGGTTCATAATCATATCAAGGTACTCAAACTCACACAACTTTCTTGCTTCGTTTATGTACATAAGGAAAAATCGATTAGACATTTCAATAAAATCAACATAAGATAAAGTACATTCGGAAATAATAATATTAGTGTTATCAATCAAATACAATCAGATGGGAAATAAGGTGATTTTATAGTAAAATAAATCAATAACTTGTTAGAATGTTCTAATGTGAATTGAATTGAAATACATTTTAACATTATTTATTATTCTCCTATGATTTGACTGTTGGTAATAATATCTTCCATACATATCGCTGGTATTTGGATTGAGTTACGTCTCTTGTACTAAGTGTTGGGTATAGATTCACTCGGTGAACCAGGATTCAGTAATCAACCACCCCTCTCACTGTCCCCACCGACGAATATCACTTTTTAGAATCTTGACTTTGTCTCACCCACCGCATTGTGTGGTTGTGTGTTAATGCACGCAGTGCAATTGCTGAATTCCTTTTTCTAAATTGCTTATCTTCACGGGTGGGATCATTCATTCTTCACTTAGCTAAATTCTCATATTCTGATAATCTCACTACTGCTGATCTACTACTTTGACTTATGAAGTCGATCTCATTCACAGTCATTACGAGGTATTTTGTAAACTAAATTATTTTGTGTAATTGGGTCGTATAGCCTACAGAGCTTGTCTTGCCTGAGTGAGTTTATAGGTTTGATTTTCATTCAAATATCTAATCATCAATTTTTACTCATGTATATAAACGACGATGCAAGAAAGTTGTATGAGTAGTGCCTTGATATGATTATGAGCAGTAGTAATAAATTGTGCTTGAAACGTGGTCATCTGTAAATATTACTGTATAACACCACTGTGTAATTTTATCAAAATAAAATTTTATGCATAATGGAATTATACTCTACTTCAGTGCCGAAGTTTTATCCTTATATCAAGAAGAGGATATTATTTGATATCTTCGTACATGTGAAATACTTCATTCAGCTAAGTAAAAGATTTCGAATTAAGCTTTCCACAAGCTGTTAGTAGCATAATATCATCAATTCCTTCTAGTTTTTATAAAAGAAGGAGTGTCCAACGAGGAGTTATTCTTTTCAATGATATCATTCTCCAACTGTACAATCTCATTTTCATCACAAAATCACAAATGTTTTCAAAGGATTAACAAGAATTATGTGCCAAATGTTGAGACAAATTCGATCCATTGTAGGTTCATTGAGTGAATAAACTTATTCTACATACCGAGTTCAGGATTCAACATGTGCATTAAAGTAGATTCTGTGGTTTGAAAAAATTTGATTGGTCATAAGTGCGACCGCATCCCATCGATGCCTAAAGTTTAACTTCGTCATAAAACGAAAAAACTGAGCAGATAATATCCTTTTCAACAATTTCCTCTTCTGGCTAATTATATATATATATATATATATATATATATATATATATATACAGAATATTCTAGAATAATTGTCATTAACAATATTGGTGTCTTTTTAAAAATTATCGATTTGTTAAGATCGGTGGAATTACAGTTCTCAGAGTATGGCCAATCCATCTCCATTTCCTCCTGCCTATTTGTTTCACAATCGGTTCCTGGTTGGTTCGCTCCCAAAGATCCCTGTTGCTGATCTTTTATGGCCGGCCATCTGATCTTGACTAAAATCGAGCGAAGACAACTGTTTATCAAAGTGTGCAGTTTGTTCGAAGTGCTCTTTGTGACGCACCAAGTCTCTGATCAGTATAGTAACACTAACTTCACATTGGAGTTGAAAGTTCCGATCTTATATATCATGCTGAGTGCTGTTAACCTCCACACAGATTTGAGAGTAGTGAAAGCTTGTCTTGCTTTTCCGATTCTTGCTTTGATATCCTCGTCAGTTCCGACGGCCTGCAGTTGAAACGATGCTTCCCAGGTTGTTAGCTGACATTACTAAAGATGAATTATGTGATATGATGTACACAAGTTAGAATAGAAGTAAAGAATGCCATCTTAAACAAGACAAACTATGTGAGAATTGTTAGGAATCGCAATAATTTGTTTCGTTTATCATCTGAGCACTGGAATTTCTAATATCTTTATTCACTCATTACTAAAGTCTGTACTGGTTATTATTACTATTATCGTTATTATTCCCTTGGGTTCCTAGCGGAACATAGAGCTTACAGCACATCTCCCCTGTGTCCTGTTCTCTACACTTTTCTTCGGTTGACCTTATGATTGCCCATAATTTCTCGTTTCTAGCTCACATAATCTCTTCCTTGTCAACTCCGGACAGATGCCCAACCCGTCCTTTCCCATTCTGGTTCCACTCAACGGTATCCTCAGAGTATATTGGATACATCCCAATATTCTAGGCTTATTTGTCTGATGATAGATTCTTGGTCTTCTGGCTGAACTGCAGAATTTCTGATAGTTCTTCCTTTCTAGTCATCTGATCATTAGAAGGGTGTTAAGGCAGCTGTTGATGAAAGTTCACAGCCTGTTAGTAATGCCCACGGTGACGCGCACATAAATTCTCTCAACCACATAGGAGGAAAGATTAACTTCAAATCAGTGATGAAAGTCTGATTGTTGTCTCTTATGCTTGATTTTAGAGCAATAAAGGTCTCCACTGCTTTTCCAATTCTAACCACCTTTGATATCTTCACTGGTACCACCTGTAGTTGAAACGGTACTGCCTAGATAAGTGAAAGAGGTGACTTCTGCTAGATTTCTCCCGTTGATGGTGAGTGATGCATGTGACTATCAATTGCTGGGTATCTTAAATACCTCTGTCTTCTCTATGTTCACCTGAATTCTTGCCTTTGCTGCTTCTTCTGACACCTTATTGGTTTCCGCCTGTAAATCTTCGAATTTATGTGTAATGAATCGTCCGTGAAGTCCACATCTTCTAGAATCTTCTTATCGGTCAAACGTATTCCTGTCTTCTCGCTCTTCAAAGTCCAGTCCACTGCAATTAAGAATCTTATTGATGATAGTAGGCAGACTTGTCTTACTTCTGTTTTCACTTCGATGGCTCTTTGCTGAGGTTTCCTTTATAGATCACTTGACATATGGGATTGGTAAATACCTGTTGAATGAGGTTGATAAAGATTTAGGGCACTACATGGTGTTGATGTAGGGATTATAGAAGTTTAAACGTAAGTTATCGGTAAAATTTGCAATTGTAGTTTGTGGGGTGAGTAGCTGAAAATAGATAATCTTATTTTTCTACCTATGTCTAGTAACTCATTATTATTACTACTTATAAGTCAACACGTAAGGATTCCGTGCAGTCGTGGGCTAAACGTGTATATCATATGTTGGCAAGTGCCTAGAATGTATATCTCATTGAAGTGTTCGACAACAAATTCCACAGATAATCTACGAAATAACTGTTTTGATTAGTACCCGTTGCCATCCCTATGGGGTATTAAGATAACTACAGTGAAACGTCTTATAAATAAACACACTTTTTTGACCTAACCTGACAACGTCTTACTGGCTTAGTGGTAAACTAGCTAACACAGTAACCTGAAAGTCCTGGGTTTGACCTCTGGTGATAGCATGGATGCATGCTGTTGAAGAGTGTCAAACAGGGACAAAACAGTCACCCAGTATTACATGGCTTTTTTCTCAGTATGTGTCTCTGGTAGCAGAATGCTCGTCAACCATGAACATGCCTTAGAGTTCGATTCTCAACCGACGCACTCATAGCATCTACCCTGGTAGAAGGTCTGGGAAAGACAGAAGGTTAAGTGTGACGGTAAGAATCCCCCGAATAAGAACAACAACATTGAGAAAATACCACACAATAAACTCTGCCGAAAACTATACATTATATAAACACTGTTTAGAATAAAGTTTTTATTAATTTTTATTGATGTGAGTAAATGGATAGGATGTCTTTTGAAGAGCAGTTCATGGATGTAAAGACGGAGAGAGTATCCACTTCGACGATTGTCATGTTTTTTACGGTTGTCGCAATTTATCTTGCAGATAGTGCCGGTTTTATCTTATTTCATCACGTTCAAGGTTACCACAAAAAATTGTGGTGCATTCTATAAGCTCACTACAAATTGAAACATGCGCTGAAAATATTGTTCAGAAGGATTATAGAAGCTTCTCAACCAGATCATCCAGCTCAGAGAACACAACTGCGGCAATATCATCCACCTGAGCTAAAAATCTTCTATATTATATCTATGCAATGACTTCACGATTTATGAACATTACCAGTCTTCCTCGTCAATGCCCATCATTTATTAATTTTTCCTACCAAGAACTAACCTTCTCACGTTTCTTCTCCAGTGACTTTTCCATTGACATATAAATTGTCGTTTATTCAGTGAAGATATGATTCCATCTGCTTTTTTCATTTCTTTGCGTTCCAGGTAGTCAATATCGCGTCAAACTTTAGGCTTTGAATTTTCAACTGATTGAAAATGGTTACAGGATTATCATCATGAGCTGACA